TAAAGTATTGGAGGGGGAGCAGGATTTAAGCTTTATTACCAACCAGGATATACAAAGCAGACTGTAATGAAAAAACAGCATTGGGATTGTATTTGCAGTCTGAATGGAAAATGTTGAGTGAAGGCAGGGCCATATGGAGGAGCTTATAGTTCCAGCAAGAACCGATGCCCTCTGAACAAGGGAAATTAGGGGTTATGGGCAAGTCATGGGAATTCAAAATAAAATTATTGCACCTGAACACTACAAACAGGCTGTTAAGCAAGAAATGAAGTTCAGAGAAACTGCCTTTTATTTTTATTTTATTTATAAGGCACGTTCCTCCTGCAACTGTGCGTGAACTGGCAAAGTGCTCAGCTAAGTAACAACCGCTTCGCATAAACAAAATATTTGATGAAAAGCTCTTATCCTTTGGCAAAACCTCAGCAATTGCACTATTTCGAAGATTTTATCCTGCATTCTGTGAAGATCTTAGCTGTCTGAACTGCTGCACATGTCTTACATAAATGCACTTGAAGCCCTGGAGAACCACAGCAGGATGCCCTATTTACCGGCCCATCTGGAGCTCCACGGATGTGTTCAGCACAGGGGCACTTTAGGATACACTTTACATGAGTTAAGAGAAAATAATAAAATACCCCAGCACAGGTATCAGTGCCCTAGGTTGCTTCCATTTCATTTTCCTACAACCCACTTGGCTTTTCACTGAGATGTGAAACTCTCCATGGTGAACCACGGACCTCCCGTGCCGTGAAACACAGGACTACCATGTCTTTGTTAGGTATAATTCACCTTTTTGTCTCCCTCAGCATTGCTTCTACCATCCTAACTCTGGTCCAAGATAGACAAATCCAACCTTGCTTCTTTAGTTTTCACTTTCTGCTCTCAGGACCTTTTCTTTTTTGTCCTCCACCAGCTTTTACAGACAAGTGGTCCAGGACAGAAGAAACTCAAACTCATAAAACAAGAGCTAAAGACCCATAGGACCTGATTGGGTCAGCATTCCTTCAGAAATATTTGCAGGAAAATAGTTTTCTCTTCAGTGTAGAATGAGGAAATTTAGGTAAATTGTATCACAGTGAACTGATAAGCCACTGAGTATTCAGGATCCAGTGAACGAAGTGTATTTAATGTCTCATCGTCTGGTGATAAAAATGCAGTCCAACTTCCTATAATATCATAAAATAGAGTAACTGGCAGACATCTAGTAAGAAAAACTTATGAAAGCTAACAATTTTCATGATGTTAAAGTATGATAGAGACTTCCCAGGAAGGGTTTTTGCCATGTCACACTGATGAAGCTCAGATGTGTATTAATATCATTTCCTTCACAAAGAAAAGCTCAAAAAGAGTTGGCAAAAAGTAGCAAATTTGCAGCAAAAATAATGAGGTTTCTCTCTTTATCATCCTCATGAGGTGGAAACGGTGGTATCACACAGGAAAAGAACTCACAGCTTCAGGCCTGCTTGGGGAAGTACAGGCATAGATCTTAAAACCTATATTGACATTTTCAACTTATTAGAAAACTGTATTTTGTGGGTTAGGTTGACTTATGTGTGCTTGGTTTAAATCTGATATTTCTCAATTGGAGAGGAATATTATGGGGTTAATTCTGCACTGTGGAAAACACAATTCACTAAATCCCTGGGAATTTTGCTTAAGTAATGAATAAATCAGTGCAGAGTATGAACCCATACTTAAATATTCCATTTAACTACAGGAACACACAAATTACTGAAAATTACTTCTGGTACAAACTGAAGGGTTTCTGTTTCATCACCTACAGCAACTCCTACAAAGTCTACTCATTTGTTCATCTCCAGGAGCTGTTAATTTTAGAGATAATTGCAAGATTCACCCAAGTAACTTCCCGCAGGTATTTGTTGAAAACTGCCATGTTCTCTTTTTAATTAACTCCAGAGCTTTTTTAATAACTTGCTATTGGTTAGTTCTAATCCAGAATGTAGCTCCAATGAGCTACATGTATAAATTTTCACATAATATTCCTGAATTATATTCTTACAACCTGTTCAGAAACTGTAATGGCCTTAAGGACACCCAGTAAGAAATGAGAAAGCTCTGGATCCAGCATTAACAAATTAATTACTGTTGTTGCTGAGATTTCTTTGGAAGCTGTTTCTGCAACTTAACACCTGCTTGAGTTAATTTTTATTCTTCCTTGTATTTCATGTATTTTATACAAGTAGGATAGATAAGAAGGTTAGGTTACTCAGTGCAAAAACTAGGAACTCCTTGGTATTAAATCAAAAATATTAGGGTCACGAACTTTAAATATACTTTTATATAACATAGTCTAGTGGGTTATGTGTAGATGAAGATGATGATTCCTTGGACAGCTCCATAAGTTCATGTATCAAGGGAAAAGCTTTTTCACATGGTTGGGAAAGAAATACTCAGTAAGATATTAACATTTTATTTTATTACCTGAAACAGAAAACTGTATCTTATCTCCAAATCAATTACTTTTATCCTAACGAGTCAGTTTTACTGATCACATTGTCATCTCTCATCTTCTTGTTTAGAGGGCTAGAAAACGAGTCATTAGCTACATGCTGAAAAATAGCTAAATTCATATTGCTTACATGTCCTTTCTCAGCTAATTAAATACCAACATGAGAATCCATTCATTTGTATTATACGCCAGAAAAAAATAATAATAATTTTAAAAAAAAAATCTGAAAGCTCCCTAACAGTGGAACATGCAATTAAACTCTCAGTGTATTAATTGGGGTGCAAAGTGCTGCGCCATTGTATAGCAGTGCTTTCCCTTCCTTAATTAACTAAAACACGGAGAAGAAAATCTGATGGCTTAATAGCAATTGCTTCACTGTCAGAAACACTTTGGGATGATTTTATTATGTTATCACAAAGAGTGTTGGAGGAGTTATTGCCATTACTTCTCTTTGTCACCTCCCAGAGTGACAGACTCGGCGGAGGAACTCGCTGCTGTTAACGGATGTGAAGGATTAATATTTTATAACATCATTACTTTATAGGCAGGATAACTATAGCAATAAGAATACATTTAATATTTTATGCATTCACAGCCACGTAACACACATGGAGCATTTATTCTGCTGCACATCTCCCCGGATGGGTGTTTGGTTGCTGTGATTGAAAGCTGAGCAGTTTGTCACACTTATGATATCGTGGTGGAAGGAGCAGAGGGGACTCAGCATTAGGGTCCAATCACTGTGTGCCCTGACAGAGTGAATCCAAACCAGAAATACATTCAGACCTTGCAGCACAGGGTCAGCACAGCACACAGAGCAATTTGAGGGGAAAACAACGTGGGCAATTGCCCGGGAGCCTTGCTAAACCCAACAGAAGCAGCACAGAAGTTATGCAGTGGAGAGGGTGCCAGAGGGAGCAGTGCAGACCCCAAAGCTCTGCCTGGGTCACTGCAATGCTGATGCCGAGGTTTTAGTGCATTTAGGCTGCGTTCAGGCAACTGTGCCCCCTTTAAACTCAGCTATGCTCCTTCTTCCTTCGGAGGCTATTCCCTTGAAAAGGAAGTTCAGACAGCCTGGCAGCAAGGATGCTTGGGATGTGTTTCCTAATCATCCCACTGGGTGCTGGTGGCTTAGTTATTTGAACAGGGATTGTTTCCTTCCCCGAGTTTCCTTGGCCATGAATTCCCCCGTTTGTGGGATCGCACAGCTCTGTGTTTCGTGTGCTCTGTGCACGGACATCCCCCTCGGCTACACCGCAGCGGCGAGCGGAGAAACAGCAAACTCCACCTGAATCCTCCGGGGAAAAGGGAGCACACTCTGGATATGGACAGTCAGGAGCTTAACATAGATTTTCAGCGCAAGGTGCTGAGTCCCCTCAGCTTTGCTCCCCCTCACCCCGCTGGTGCTGCCTTTGCCCCGCACTTTGAAGGACTGTGCACTGTGCCCCTTAATTTATTTAAATGTTTTAGTCACCTTTGCTCTCTGAGCGCATGAGGAATGATGCTTCCATTTGATGTTTAAAGGAAAGCTGAGTGGGGTTAATGCTTGCCAGGTCAAAAGGCATCAATCTTTAGCTCCGCACAGGAACATGCCTTTGGGAATTGCGGAATGCATCTCCCCGGGCGGCATAAACAGCTTCTTCCCTCTCTTTTTTTTCTTTTCTTGCCTCATGTTCAGTGTTTGTCAAGCAAAAGGGGGATAGACAGAAACAGAAGTGTGGCAGATTCTGCCTACGTCTTTCCCACAGTCTTTCCTAACCCCGAACTCTTGTGATACTTTGTATTCACTATCGCACTTGACTGACACAAGAAACCCACTGTAGGGAGCGAGGCTTCCTGTGAACCGAGCCCCGTTTCCATGGTGCGGAGTTTTCTACTTAAAAAAAATAAATTCCTGTTTTCCGGAGCTACACCTCCGTGCAGCCCCGGGAGGGCAAACATCCCCATCCTACGAGGTTTCCCTTCCCATGCCACAGCCGCTCCTTCTCCGGTCAGACGCGGGAAACCCGCGATGTATTTTAAGGTCACTGAACCGTTCCCGCGGCGGTGTGTGCCCGGCTTTGGGGGCACCTCACAGCGGAGCGCCCTGGCGCTGCCACCCCCGCGCCCAGCCCCGAGCGGCTCCGGGGGATGCTCCGGCGGGATGCCCGCGTCCAACTTCCCGCATCCCGCCACCGCTCACCGCGGCAAACTTTCGGGAGCGGCGTCCGCGGAGCCCCGCGGATCCCAAGCGGCGGATCTCGGCAGCGGATCCCGACAGCGGAGCCGGGCAGGGAAGCGGAGCATCCCCAAGCCCGGAGCAGCGGAGCCGGGCAGAGAAGCGGAGCATCCCCAAACCCGAAGCAGCGGAGCCGAGCAGGGAAGCGGAGCATCCCCAAGCCCGAAGCAGCGGAGCCGGGCATCCCCAGCCCCGGAGCGGCGGCTCCCCGAGAGGGAGGGACGCGGGTCCCGCAGCCCGGCACAACGCGCTCCCCGCAGGATGGGAAGATCCCCGGACCCCCCGTCCCTCCCGCAGCCCCCCGGCACTCACCGATCCGCAGCACTTGCTGGGCGCTCCGGGGCAGCCCCGCCGAGGCGCAAAGCAGCACGAAGAGGAGCCCCCCGCCACCGCCGCCGCCCGGGGCCGTGCGGCGGGGCCAGCGCGGGCCGAGGGCGCTCGCCATGCTCAGTTCATGGGGGGCCCGGCGGGCGGACACCCCCGGCGGGGCCCATGGCGCGGGGGCTCCGCGCTCCCGCCGCCGCTGCCGCGCTGCCCTCGCCCCCCGCCGCCGCCGGCAGCGAGGGAGGGGACGGGAACGGGAATGGGGACGGGCGGCTCCTCCCGCGGGGCGGCCCCGGGCGGGGCCAGGCGGGGCCGGGGATCCGCGCACTCGAGGGGCACGGACGGACAGAGACAGAGAGTGGGGCTGCTGCTCCCCGGCACGGCCCGACCCGCGCTGGGCAGGGACAGGGACGGGGCAGGGACAGACGGGGGGACACACAGAGGGACAGTGGCAGAGCACTGGAACAGCTGCCCGGGGAGGGCGCGGAGCCTCCCTGTCTGGAGGCGTTCCAAGCCCAGTTTCCACCTGGATGCGCTCCTGTGTCACCTGCTCCAGGTGCCCTGGCAGCGAGGTTGGACTGGTTGATCTCCAGAGGTCCCTCTCAACCCTTTTCAGTCACTATTCTGTGATTCTGTGATTCTGTGACTCTGTGATTCTGTGATTCTATGACAGGGACAGGGCAGAGACAAACAGAGGGACAAACAGGGGCAGGGAGAGGTGCAGAGCTGTCCCTGTCCCACCAGCCGGCTCGCCCCGCGTTGTGCTGTCCGGCCCCCGTGGGTCCCTCCCTGCAGCCCCTCCTTGGCCTGGGAGAAGCTTTTTCACCCCCGTACCCCTCAGCCCCGCAGCTCCTGCCCTTTTCCCTCCTGGCTGGACAGGGCTCTGGCAGGATGCCATGTGCAGGGCAGCTCCCTCCTGGCCTGGGTGATGGGGCACAGGCTGTGGGACACCCGTGGGGGCAAGGTGAAGGGCAGGGTTTCTGCACTGTGTTTGCTACCCTGGACCTCTGCAGTCCAGTGAGGGACAGGAGACATGTCCCCTCAGTGCATGTCCCCAGTGGAAGGACAGCAGGGCTGTTGACCTGGACTCAGGTGTTCACAAAGTTCAAGGGTGAAAACTCAAGGCCAGTTTTGAGCTGTCCATCACAGACCAGCAGATCTCTTTTTCCCCGGTGTCCCACTGTTCTCAAATAATTTTTTTAATCTTGTTTTTAAAGGCTGAGTGAAACTCAGAATGCTTCACTACAAAGTAAACATATGGGTCCTGAGCTGATCCAAAAAAAAGCAAAAACCACAAAGGGACAATGACTCCCACCTAGCAACAGAACTAAAATTGTATAGCTGAGATCTAAAATTGAAATCATTTAAATTTGTTTACTTTGTATTCCTCTCCAGCCTGTCTAACTATTGTTCCAGAAATTAACTCCTCGGAGCAGTCACAGAACATGCTGAAGTGCAATGGAAATAAAAGCAGCTACATTATATCTCCCAGTCAGCCTGAAATGGTTCCTGAAAAGCCTGCCTCTACTGTTTACACAGCAATTTAGGCTGTTCAGGAGTTCTCACTACCAAAATTCCCAGCCAGGATCCTGGTTAGTGCCCCTCTGCATTTCTCACAGCGTGTTTTACGTGCGTCATGGGGAATTTTTGCCCGCATGTTTATTTTTTGTTTGTTTACCTAAGAGCCATCCTTTCCTTGGGAACAGAGCATGTTCAACAACTACAGTGTGTGCTCTGGTGTAGGAGGCACAGAAGGAACCCATCAGGCCACCCTGGGCTGCACTGAATGGCTCGGTGACTTAGGCACAATTTTATAACCTGTCATTGCCTTTCAAACATGTGGGAGAAGGCAGAACCTCCTTCTGATGGGAGTGGGAAACCTCATCCCCTGAGCAGGGAATAATAACAACCCCCCTTGGGACACATATTCATCTGCTGCACAAAACCAAGCAGGGCAAGGAGTTCAGGCTGCACCAGCAAGTTCCATTTTCACAGTCGTGCTGGCACGGCAAATAACAGTGACACAGCAGCAAGGACTGCTTCCCAAAGGGGAAGCCACATCAGTTCCACTTGACTGAGAAATGGTACTGTTCTAAAGAAAAAAAAAAATAAAGGAAAGTGTTTCCTCAGGAAAATGCACCTACTGGTATTTTCAGAACCGCCTGCCCTGAGCCTAAACAGGTTCCTGTGAAATTCAGACACCACAACGCTGCACTGAGATAAGAAGTCGACCAGAATTATAATCTTTAGGGAATAGCACTGGTTTGAGTGTTCTGCTTCTTTGAAGGCCTTAAGGACATGGACTGAACAGAATGGGCAAAGTGGGAGCTCAGTGATGGCTGCACGAGGGGGGCAGAACTCTGCAGACATTTGCTACCAGTAGGAGAAACAGGAGCAGCTCCAGCTCAGCAAACCCCCCTTGTGACAGGAGCTGCTCACAGGGAACTGGAAACAGGGACTGGTTTCTGCCCCAGGATGCAGCTGAGAGTTACCCAGGCTGTGTTCCACAGCTCCATAAGGCTTTTCAAAGGTTATGGAAAAATCAAAATCATCTCTGATGCTGCAGAGACTGGCCAAGCTTTAAAATCAAAAATAGTCCATTTGCTACTGTGAAAGGTCTCTTTTTCTCAGTTTTTCAGGTTTCATTTGTGTATATGACCCCCTGTTCTGCACTGGTCAGAGAAGACAGGAAGTCGAAGGTTCTGTTTTCAGAACTTTTCACTGGAAAACTGATGGTGGGAAAGAATCTTAAGCCATCCACTTTGAGATTTATAAAATTTCCTCTTCTTGAAATAGTTCTAAAAAATATTTTAGAATTAGAAATGGGACATTTTGAAACACAAAGGAGCAGAAAAAAATTTTAACTGACCAAAATTTTCCTGCAAGTGTTCTCCAGGTTTCTGGTTTTACAGTAGGCTCTAATCCATATGGTTCTTCTGTTGCTTGCAGTGTAGTCATTCACCCAGTAAACTCCACCCCACAAAATCAAGACATGTTTTACAGGGAGTGTTGTTTTATTTCTGGTTGATATTTTAAGATGAGAAGTCTCAATACGGTTCATCTTGCTGGTCTCCTTTTATCAATGTTCTCAAACCTTTAATCTTCTTTTGGAGTGTGCTCAGAAAGTGGAGGGGAAAAGCCCAGATCTCGTGCCAATCTTTTTTTCTTTCAGTTAAGCAGGTTTGAATGCCCCGAACTTTAATATGTAAGATGTTGTTCAGCTCTTACTGGTGCCATGTTTGCTTGTTCATTGATTGCATTGTCTTTATTTAGATTAATTTATCAGTAAGATGTGTTGGAATACTCTTGGAATAAAAGATAGGGTGGATAATAAAAATATGTTCTTATCACATGGCACATTAATATTACAAATGGTGACACAGTCCTTTCCACAGGAATTTGAAGTCTTTTTTCTTGTTTCACAACATGAAATTCCAGTTAGATATAATGTGTAATTATTATGGAATTTGCAGTTAAATAATACTTTTAGGCTAAGAACCGAAACCTCATCAGCTATCAGGGCCTCATGACTGAATCTGGGGATGTAAACCACCTCCTTCCCATTTTGTACCCATTTCAGGATTCTGATTTGAGTTTGGAAGTGGCCAAAATATCAGAAGGACGAGTGCATGCAAATGTGTAGGGAAATCTGGAAGTTTTCAAAAAAATTCTTAATTTCTTGGTCAAGTTCTGAGAAATTTTAGCTGTGTTCTGTTGCCCTCAGGACTTTAACCAGACTCTGGCCAGTCAAAGGTACTTTCCTACAGAGTTGAGGAGAGAAGATTAGAGGAGAGGAGAGGAGAGGACAGGACAGGACAGGACAGGACAGGACAGGACAGGACAGGACAGAGACAAGAAATCTGATCTGTGGAGCAGAGATGGTGGATGTGAGTGATGGAGAGAGGTGCTTGAGTGGAATTATTCCAGATTCCCCTGACATGCCTCCAATTTTGGTTCAGTTGAAGTCAAAGAATACTTTTATAATTTCCCTCCCCTCTCTATTTAACAGAATGTTACCAAAACACCACTGAATTCCATGTAGGTGAGGACGTTACATTAATTTTTAAACTTAAAAAGACCCAAGTACTTTAGCTGAAGCAACATAATACCTAGGAAAGCAAATACAAATTATTCTCCCAAATGAGAACAGCACTGTTATTACAGCAAGTTCAAACACCTCATTTTAAAAAAGCTCTTTTTTGGTTCAAGTGTTCTCTTTATTTATGTTCCCAGACCCATAAATGCAGTTGTCCCCTTTTCAAAGTCTTTTCACTAAAAATGCTACAGTGAAACTCTTAACAAACTAACATTGATCTCCTCCATTGAACCAGTCTAACATTAATCTGCAAAACTGCTTTTCCCTGAGCTGTAGATACTTTTATCCACCACACTATTTAGCTGAAAGACATAAATAACCTGCAACTCAAACTCAAGCCACTGGAAACCTTTCTCAGCCAAAGACTTACTACATTTTTTTTTTCTCCAATATATGTTACGCCAGAGACTTTTTGAACAAGAAAACTCCCACTGTGTAGACAGAATCTGGGCACGTCTTTCATCAAAGAAGGGACTTTTATTGGTCACTTCTGTAGAAATCTAGAAAGTTCCTCTAAAATGAGTGGAGTCGGTCTAAGCTTCCAAGCCATGCTTCTGCCCTGAGAAGCTCTTGTCATATTTGCTTTTTACAGAAGAAATAAACCCACAAAAACAAGAACCTTTTAGCAGATAAGGAGGAGGGGAGAAGAATTAATACTGTTTTACCTAAACTGCTCCATTTCCTCAGTGTATACTCCTCTTTTCTGCCATTAAGTTACTATTAATTATGAGTAAGCTGGTGGGGTAAATTAACACCCGTTCCAAATCTCTACCAGTATAATTTAAATATGTCCTAACTCATTTTTCTACTTCCACACTTGTTTCAAAAGAGAGATTTAGGTGTCCAAAAGAGAGTCTTTCACTTTATTACTGTAGTGCCCCAGCACCGACGAAATGAGGTGGGACCTGAGGGAGAAAGGGTGTTATGAATCTGCTATTTATTTGTAGGCCCTTAGTCCAGGCATTTTAGCCCTTTTTTCTACTCATCCACAGATGTGAATCAGAATTTCAGTAATAAAAAAATCCTCCACTGCTTAGGAAACACTCTTAAGTCTGCTCACAGGAATGAATGTCTCAATTTAAACATGTGTGATATATGTGCTCTGATAGCTCAC